GCTTTTTCAACAAGCGGGACTGACCTAGGGTGAATTTTAAATAGGGATAATTTTTAATGATTTTAAATAGTCACAGCCACTAATATTTGGGTTTTAATTGGTTTTTAGAAGGGGTAATTTTGTATATTGTTTTAACATGCTGTGAGCCGCCCTGAGTCCCATGGGGAGAAGGGCGGCATATAAATTTTGTAAAATAAATTTTGTAAAATAAATAGCAAAAAAGGACTTAGGTAATCTGGAAAGGGTTACATCCTTAGAAGTTGTTTTTTTATCTTTTAACGTGTCCAAAACCCCATTCCAGTCTCCCATAACAATCAAAGAGTTATAGTCCATCGCCACAATTTTCTGATGTAATTGTCTATAAAATTGCTTTTGAGCTGCAAGTTGATTGGGTGCATAAACCCCTATTATTAAACACTTTTTTCCATTTAAATTTATTTCCACAAATAGATATCTTCCTTCTTTATCAGTTTCTTTTAAGATAGGTGAAAGATGTCTTTTGATGTACAGTGCAACCCCAGCTCTCTTTTTTAAGGCAGATGCAACAAACAAATCTCCAAGCTTAGAATTCAATAAAAGTTTTTGATCTTTAGCCACAATATGAGTCTCTTGTAAGCATGTAATATCATTATTAAAATGTCTTAGGTAATGAAAAATCTTACGTCTTTTGTGGGGAACATTGAGTCCACCCACATTCCAAGATGTTAACTTACACATTAGGAGGTTTTATTCCACTGACAATACTAGCCGCATATGATTTCACAAAAACCTTAGGTCGAGCGCCACCTACTGGCTGCGAAGAAGCCGGTACTTGACAATCAGCTGCAGGGATATCAGCTGGTGGACGAGCTGTCATCTGTCTTTCCTTTTCCTTACATCTATGAGCTGCGCGCGTAATTCTTTGTTCCTTCCCATTAGCTTTTGGACTTTCCTCTAAATCTTGAACAGAAGCAGAAGAAAAATCCACAATCATCTGCTCGACCACGTCAATCCTCTGGGGTGTGGGTGGACGTTCTGATTGTAAAACAGACGCCATAAAGTCCTTAGCTTTATTGATCGAGTTGAGCCTGTAGCGT